GATTTATAGTACATTGATAAAATTGTGCAGCCATCACTACTACCTAAATTCAGAATATTCTTATCACCCCCAAAATAAATCCCAAACCCACCAGCAGTTACTTTCCTAAATCTTTCCTGTCATCCTTACTAGGGATCATCTGGCAACCACCATTTTCTATTTATATGGATTTGCCTACTCAGGACATTTCATATAAATGCAATCCTATAAAACGTGGCCTTTTGTGGATTGCGTCTTTTTAACAATGTGTTCAAGATTCATCCACACTGTTGCATGAATCAGTATTTAATGTCTTTACGTTGCTAAATAACATTCCATTGTATGGATACACCAAATTTTATCCATTCATAAAGTGATAAACATCGACTTTTTGTATTTTCTGGCTGTTATGAATAATGCTGCTATAAATATACATGTACAAGTTTCATTGTGGACTTGTTTTCATTCCTCCCAGGTACATATTAATACTTAGAAGTGGGATTATTGGGTCCTATGGTAACTGTGTTTATTCACTTGAGGAACTGCCAGACTAATGCTCTGAATTGTATCATTTTACATTCTGAATAGCAGTGTATGAGGGTTCCAATTTCTCTACAACTTCACAAACACCGAATATCTGTCCTTTTTATTTTAGCCATTGTTACGGATATGAACTTGTAACCTGTGGTTTTGATTTCCATATACCTAATGATGAACGATGCTCAGCGTCCTTTCATGTGCTTATTAGCCATCTGTATATTTTCTTTAGACGAATGTCTATTTAAATACTATTCCCCTTTCTTACTGGGATATTTGTATTTTTATTGTTGAGTTGTAGGACTTTATTCTAGATGTAAGTTCCTTATCAGATATGTATTTTATAAATATTTTCTTACAATCTGTGGGTGTCTTTTCACTTTTTTCTTTCACTTTCTTGATGGTGTCCTTTGAAACACAAAATAGAGGAAATCCAACTTATCTATTTTTTCTCAATACCTGAGCATTTTGTCATATCTAATAAATCATTGTTTAACCCAGCATTACCAAGATTTAATGCTATGTTTTCTAAGCATTTTGCAGTGTTAGTTCTTACATTTAGACATTTGATCCATACCAAATTCATTTTTGTATATGGTAGGAAGTTGAAATTCAACTTTGGTTCAGTAGTGTTTCACATTAGTATATTAACGTTGTTCCAAAACAGACCTCTGAAACTGTTTCATCTTGGAAAACTCAAACACTGTACACATTAAACAACTCCTCCCCACACCATCTCAGATCCTTGTAACCACCATTCTACTTTGTTTATATGAATTTAACGTTACTTAGCCTCAAATAAATGGAATCATATGGTGTTTTTGTGACTGGATTATTTAACTTAGCATAATGTCATAAAGGTTCATCCTTGTAGCATGTCCCAGGATTTTCTTCTTTTTTAAAGCTGAATGATATTCCATTGTATGTATAGACCACATTTTGTTTATCCATAAATCTCTAATAAACATTTGGTCTGCTTCCACATCTTGGCTATTGTGAAAAGTGCTACTATGAACATAGGTGGGCAAATATCAATTGAAAATCCTGCTCTCAATTTTTTGCTATATACCTAGAAAGAGAATTGCTGGATATATGGCAGTTCTATTTTTACTTTTTTTTTTGATGCTCCATACTGTTTTCCATGGTGGTTGCACCGTTTAAAAATCTCTCCAACAGTGCACAGTGTTTCCAATTTGTCCGCATCCCCGCCCATGTGATTTTCTATTTTCTTGATAGGAGCCATCTTAATGGGTGTGAGGTTGTATCTGATTGCAGTTTTTATTTGCATTTCTGATTAGAGAATGAACAT